TAATGAATCTTTTCTCAGTTCATAGGAATTTTGTATAGTTGGTTAAGACAGATCAAAATGAGACAAACACTCATTCACGTGGTAAGTAGATGCTTACCTTTAATCTCTGTGGTGTCTTGATTATATCACTTGCTTTCTGCTTCTGTTCCTGTGCATTTGGAAAAGTTCACTGCTTTTTGGTTCCTGTGGATGCTCTGAGAACACACTTGGGGATTCATGAGTTAATCACCCTCTGGCTGTTTTTAACAGCATGAGCTTGCATGGAGTTTAAGTAAGTCTGAGCTCTCTCGGGTTGTCTGAGGAGGAAAAGAAGCAGATTTGGTAGGATGATGAGATAGGTTAGCATGCAAGTGCAGTAAAGAATTTCGTTTTGGATGTTTTTAGTTTGAGTTTTCTGCAGGATGTTCTGTTTTCTAGGTAATTTGTGGATTTTTACACTGCTTTATAAAAAGCTCTTTCCCCAATTGGTAGCTTTGAATTCTTCTTCAGTATTTATGGGAGGTCATGTTCTTGAATTAGATGTTCTGCATTACCTTACCAAAGATGACTCTACCAGTGGTGAAGCCAACAAGGAAAAAGATCTGCTGCTCTGGGTATCTAAAAGATCACTTCATCTTGGTACTTATGGGACTGCCTCATTCTTTGTGATGGCTGTAGAGCATTCACTCCATCGACTGAATGTAACATAATTTAGTAGTCCCTGCCACTTTTCCTGTTATATCTGTATATGCTGAAGTACATAATACTTACATGTAAATACATCATATCCCACATTTCCAAATTGTTCTCCATTAACATTTTGTCGGTATGTACTTCCACCAACAAGGTTTAGTGTGTCTGTTTCCTTATACACTCAACAGTATAGAGTGCTACTAGAGTTTATCTGATTGGTGAAAATGTTATTTTATTCTTATTTTTAACATATATCTCTTATAGAGTTTGGGCATCTTTTCATGTGAATGAGTCATTTGTAATTCTTTTTCTGAGAGCTCACTGTTCCTATATGCTACCTATTTTTCTATTATATGGTTACTGTTTTATTATTGATATGTAGGAGCTTTAGCTATATTAAGCAAATTAGCTCTTGGTGATATGACTTATACTGTTGCCTTTAAGTTTGTTGTTTGTCCTTTGACTTTGCTTACCATGTTTTGCTGTGAGGGAATTTTTTATATTGATGTAATGGAATTACATCTAATTTTAAAAATTGCTTTCAAATTTTGTGTTACACTCAAAGCATTTCAGATATTATGTTTATCATATTCTGAATACCCACCTCAGCCTCTCAAAGTTCTAGGATTACAGATCCAACAGTGGCTGGAGCCACTGCACCCAGTTACTCAAGGCAAATATTGAGCCAATGTACTTGGCCATCCAAGGTTCCACCCTGGGTAGGGGAGCTCTGAGCACTGGCATTGGAGGGAGCACAGCTTCTCGGCTGAACTCTGGGATAGACACATTTCCTGATGGGTAGAGCATTCCAAGGCTTCTCACTCACATCTTCTACAACTCCAAGTCTTGGGATGCCTCAAACCCATACTCTACATGGGCCAGCCTTCACTGAGCAGCTAGTGTGGGACAGACAGGCCAGGGTGGGCACACAAGAGGAAGGAGACCCAGACTTTGCCTCAAGGAGATCACATTCAAGCAGGGACAGAATTACTCCAGAGTGTGGCAGACTGAGGGACCACAGCCTCTGATTTTCTTCCTTACTTTATTTATTACTCTCTCTCTCTTTTTCTTTTTCTTCTCTCTTTCTCTCTCTTCCTCTCTTCTTTCTTTCTTCCTTTCTCTCTTTCTCCTTCTTTTTTTCAAGACAGAGTTTCATTCTTGTTGTCCAGGTTGGAGTGCAATGGCCTCAGATGATCCACCCACCTAGGCCTCCCAAATGCTGGGATTATATGTGTGAGCCACTGTATCTTGCCACCTCCAATTTTCACAGAAGGAGGCACAGAGAAGTTTGGCACCCAACAGAAATGAGTTCAAATATCAGTTTCCCTGATTCTTGGCTCAAGCTTTTCTGGTTCTCAGTGACTTCCTATGTAAGGGAATGAGGGGGGTCTGTGGTGACAAAATGATGCCAGGCAAGGTGATACTCACCTGTAATCTCACTCAGCAGGTTGAGGTGGGAGGATCGCTTGAGGGCCTACCTGGGAAACATAGGGAGACCCCAACTCAAAAAAAAAAAAAAAAAAAAAGCGAGCCATGGTGGCTCATGCCTGGAATCCTAGCACTTTGGGAACCCAAGGCAGGTGGATCACTGGAGGTCAGGAATTCGAGACCATCCTGACCAACATGGTGAAACCCCATCCCTACTAAAAATACAAAAATTAGCCAGCCGTGGTGGTGCATGCCTGTAGTCCCAGCTACTTGGGAGGTTGAGGCAGAAGAATTGCTTAAACCCAGGAGGTGGAGGTTGCAGTGAGCCAAGATCACACCACGACACTCCAGGCTGGGAGGCTCCAGAGAGCAAGACTGCATCTCCAAAAAAAAAAAAAAAGAGAGAGGGAGGAAGAGACATCAACGAACATTGGTGATGAATGGGGTAGCGGTGGCACTGCCTGGCTAAAATATATATATATATATATATATATATATATATATATATATATGTATGTATGTACATGTATATATCTATATGCATGTATATATCTATATGCATATATTTATATATGTATATATTTGTATTTTTAGTAGAAACTAGGTTTCTTCATGTTGACTAGGCTGAGTCCTGACCTCAGGTGATCCACCCACTTAGGCCTCCCAAAGTACTGAGATTACAGGCGTGAGTCACCACACCGGGCCCTCTTTTTTTTTTTTTTTTTTTTTTTTTGAGAGGGAGTTTCACTTTCTACCCCAGGCTGGAGGACAGTGGCAAAAACTCAGTTTACTTCAACCTCCCCGTCCCAGGTTCAGACATTTCTCCAGCTCAACCTTTCGAGTAGCTGGGATTACAGGAGTGTGCCACCATGCCAGGCTAAATTTGTATTTTTGATAGAAATGGGGTTTTGCCATGTTGACCAGGCTGGTCTCAGACCCCTGACCTCAGGTAATCCACTGGCGTTGGCCCCCCAAGGTGCTGGAATTACACACGGGAGCCCATCCCACCCCCATCCAAGTAAATTTCTTGATTGCACAGAATGTATGGTAATATTGGTGGACTTACGGACATCCTCTCCAGCATTGAGTGTTGTGTTTTGGGTATGCTGTGCTTCTCGTTTGTTTTTTGAGACAGAATCTCACTCGGTTGCCAGGCTGGAGTGCAGTGGTATAATCTTGTTTCACTGCAACCTCCACCTCCCAGGTTCAAGTGATTCTCCTGCCTCAACCTCCTGAGTAGCTGGGATTACAGGCGCATGCCACCATGCCCAGCTAATTTTTTAAAAAAGTATTTTTAGAGGCCGGGCGCGGTGGCTCAAGCCTGTAATCCCAGCACTTTGGGAGGCCGAGGCGGGTGGATCACGAGGTCAAGAGATCGAGACCATCCTGGTCAACATGGTGAAACCCCGTCTCTACTAAAACTACAAAAAATTAGCTGGGCATGGTGGCGCGTGCCTGTAATCCCAGCTACTCAGGAGGCTGAGGCAGGAGAATTGCCTGAACCCAGGAGGCGGAGGTTGCGGTGAGCCGAGGTCGCGCCATTGCACTCCAGCCTGGGTAACAAGAGCGAAACTCCATCTCAAAAAAAAAGAAAAAAAAAAAAAAAGTATTTTTAGTACAGATGGGGTTTCACCATGTTGGCCAGAATAGTGTCAGTCTTTTGACCTCGTGATCCAACTGCCTTGGCCTCCCAAAATGCTGGAATTACAGGCATGAACCACTGTGCCTGGCATGTGCTCTGCTTTTAAACTCATTTCTTTTTAATGTGGAGCAGATTGGAAAGTGTGCCTTGTTTTCATGGCCCTCATGCAGCTTGTTTTGAACTGTTTTATGTTCACAGTCTGGGATATTTGAGGCAATATTGCTGAGCTGTCCTGTCAACCTGAATTTGAGCCCTTTATCTTCCACTAACTTTGCAATGTGACTGAGCAAGGTACCTAGCATCTCTGTTCTTCAGTTTCTTTATCTGTAAAATGCAGATTATGACCAGCTCATAGCAGTAGTGTGAGGAATAAATGAAGATATGTGCAGATCACTTTAACATGGTATGTGACACTTGGTAGGCACCAAATCATTATTGCTGGGAGTATCAGTACATTCTTGCTTGTCTACACACGCGCGCGTGCGCGCGCACACACACACACACACACACACACACACAGAGAGAGAGAGAGAGAGAAAGAGAGAAAGAGAGAGAGAGAGAAATTGCAGAGATCATACAAAGAGTTCCCATATACCTGTACCCAGCTTCCCCTATTATTAACATCTTACATTAGTAATGGTGAATTTGTTAAAATTAATGAACAAATATTGAGATGCTTTTATTAACCCAAGTCTCTACTTCATTCAGATTTCTTGGGGTTATTCCTAATGTCCTTTCCTGTTCCAGTGTCTCATCCGGGACACCGCATTCTATTTTTCATTTTTCCTTAGGCACTCTTCCTGGCTGGGTCACTGGGTGAGTTTCTTTTGATTACATTGAAATTAAATTTTGGTGCAGACAATGAGATCTCTGTTACAGAATTCTTAGGTTAAAATTTAGTCACAATGGCTGGGTGCAGTGGCTCATGCCTGTAATCCCAACACTTTGGGAGGTCAGGCAGACTGATCACTGGAGGCCAGGAGTTTGAGACCAGCTTGGAAAACATAGTGAGACCCTATCTCTACTAAAAATAGAAAAATGTTTGCCAGGCATGCTGGCACACACCTGTAATCTCAGCTACTCTGGAGGCTGAGGCATGAGAATTTCTTGAACTCAGGAAGCAGAGGTTTCAGTGAGCTGAGATTGTGTGACCATACCACAGCCAGGAAGATGAAGCCAGATTCTGTCTCAAAATCAATAATAATAATAAAAGGCAAAACTTATTCACAAAATTATTATAGGGCACCTGGTAGTATATGAACTGGATGTGTAGTAGACTCCTGAGATCTTAACCTAAAGTCTGCCCTACTGTGGTGAAATCTGCTTGTATGCCAGAAAGCAGACCCAAGCTGCCGAAAACCACCTGTACCATATCCTGCCCCATATGTCCTCCACCACCTTCTGGTAAATAATGTCCATTGAAAAATGCTGGTTGGGCTGACATGGTGGCCTGAGTGATAACACATCTCAGGAATGTGGGGGTGGGTGTAGGGTAGGAAAAGGAGGCCACTGTGTTTTTTCTGACAGTCACCTCAAAACTGCTGGTGGCTTGGTGATGGAAGGGTCTCACCCCAGCATGTTAGCTGAGCTGTGTGTCTTCTCTGAATGTTAATAACTTTCACTGCTTTGGCTTGTGTCTTCTCCTTGATATCACCAGCTGAAAATATAAGTCAGAAGTTTTTGGTTTCTGGTGCCAAATCCAAGGTGGTTTATCAGCAAACACCCCCTGCCAGACAATGAAGTCTGTGCTGGGGCAGAGCCGCTTTCCCTTTGACACTGGTTCTTTTCTAAGAAGTGAAAATAAGCTGCAGAGGCTGTGACTTCACCTTTCTTGGAACTTCTTTACATTACCCCAAAAAAATGCAGAAAACCCTCATTTAGCAGCTTTTGGATTACTGAGTTTTCTAATTCTTTCTGTCGCATATTCTTGTAATGCTTAAGTTTGCCTGACAAATTCTTCTGCATCAGGCGAAGTGAGAGGGGGAAGGAATGACCGTGTGAAGGAACTGGGTGCTTTGTTACTTGGCCTGTTTGTGGTTTAATGGTTGACGAGAAAAAGCACCTAGAAGAGACACTGTGTGTAGAATCGCTTCCAATTCCAAGGGTCACAACCCTGTGATCTGTTTGCCAGCAGCTGGCTAGGGCTGGGGTAGATGAACATCAGGCCACAGCCCATACTTAGAGAGCAGCTGCAAGGACAAGGGGAAAAATGCATTTTCAGCCATAATGATCCACATTTAGTAGATACTTTGGAGCTTGTGCAAAAGGACATCTTCAAGGGGCCTCTGCCCCCTTGCAATAAGGGAGATAGTGATGTCAGCCAAACCTGGGGTCCAGTCCTGGTCCTGCTGGTTCCGTGTGACTTAGGCCTTGAAAGTCAGTCTGTGAAGTGGAGACCACTCTTCCTTTGAAGGGTAGTACCTGGTAGGTTCTTGGGAACTGAATTAATGTTCCCCTCCTGAGAGTGGGTCTCTGTAGACAGGCACATACGCTGTTCTGAAATCATCTGTTGCTATCTCTGTCTCTGTTGGAGGTGCTTCCAGTGATGTGTGACTGTGTCTTTCTTATCTCAGTATCCCTGCCCAGCATGGGGTCTTACATAACATACCTGGGCAGTCAGTCAGTCCTAACACTGGCTGGGTTTTAGCCTGGAAGACAGTGGAAATATACAAGCAAAGGCAGTGTCTTGAATTTACACATGGCCTGTAGCATTTTTCAAATGAAAGAAACCCCCTGCTTAGGAGGGCCTTTTGAATTGGGCCCCCTGTATAGTTTATAGTGAAACTGAGGGTGATGGCTAGACTGTTGGGGAGTGCTCTTTAAGTACAGAGGGAAGACTTGGTAAAGACATAAAAGTATGGAGGAAAAGGAGATAACCAGCTGAGTCCAAAAAATGATTCATGTGGTTCGGGCAGAACCTGAAATGAGAGGCCTTTGAGATTGACTCTTGGTAAAGAATGCAAATTCAGCTGGGCTCAGTGGCTCACACCTGTAACCCCAGCACTTTAGGAGGCTGAGGTGGGCAGATCACCTGAGGTCAGGTATTTGAGACCAGCCTGGCCAACATGGTGAAACCCTGACTCTACTAAAAATATAAAAATTAGCTGAATGTGGTGGTGTATGCCTATATTCCCAGCTATTCGGGAGGCTGAGGCAGAAGAGTCACTTGAACCCAGAAGGCATAGGTTGCAGTTAGCTCAGATCACTCCACTGCCACTGCATTCCAGTCTGAGTGTCAGAGTAAGATTCCATGTCAAAAAAAAAAAAAAGTGAGCCCTTTTACAGAAAACTATTAAGTAAACAGTAGTACATTGGTACCTGAGTGACTGATGTGTGGGTACTTGCATATCCTTGATGTTCTAGAGTAGAGCTGAACTGTCTAATGTGATTGTCAGAAGCCTCAGAGATCTATGGAGTACTTGGAATGTGCTGGTGTGACAGGCAGAGTTGCCAGACTCAGTAAATAAAATTTGAGGATGCCTCCTCCATCAGTGTGGGCTGTGCACAGTGACTTTCTTCCAGAACGGAAAGGGGGATAAAAGAGTAACTTTACAGTGGCAAAATCTGACAGACTGCCCCAGACAGCCAGCCAGCCAAGGTTAACAGCACACCTGGGTAAGACACCTGAGGCCCTGGGGGGCTGGGACTTAGAAGCTTCAAATTCCACAGCCACTCCTCTCCTCACTGCTCTCACATGGCTCCTGCAGAGAGTAGTGACAGTGCCCTAAGGGGCCTTTAGGAGGCTGATGGGACCACGGGAGGTCTCTTGGAGGCCTGGAGAGGCATGTGAGGACTTGGCATTTTCAACAGGTATGACAGCCGGGGTTGGTGCTTGAGACCTCTGGTCAGAGCTGGTAATGCTGCGTAATGAATTGCCACAAACTTAGGAGCTTAAAATAATAAATGTATTGGCTGGGTGCAGTGGCTCACACCTGTAATCCCAGCACTTTGGGAGGGCAAGGCAGGCATATCACCTGAGGTTGGGAGTTCAAGACTAGCCTGACCAACATGGAGAAATCCTGTCTCTACTAAAAATACAAAAATTTAGCTAGGCATGGTGGTGCATGCCTGTAATCCCAGCTACTTAGGAGGCTGAGCAAGGAGAATCGTTTGAACCTAGGAGGCAGAAGTTGCAGTGAGCTAATTGCACCGCTGCCCTTCAGCCTGGGTGACAAAGCAAGACTCCATCACAAAAATAGAACAGCCTTGTTAAATTCCTCCCATGTGTGGATGCACTTGCTGTAATATTTATTCCTGCTATTATGAGTCACCTGCTCCCAGGGCTGCCCTGCCCATTGCGAGACCTCTTCTGTCTTCCTAAGTGTGAGACAGTGTTTTCCCTGCCTTTACCACATTGTCCGCCTCTCTGGCTGGTGTCACACCCCTTTAAGGAGAGTGAGGACATTGACTCTGGGATCTTGGTCTCCCCAGGTTTGCCAGCAGGCCCCGACTTGGCATGAGAAATAAATGTCAGTGGGAAAAATCTTTCTTTTTTTTGAGATGGAGTCTTGCTCTGTTGCCAGGCTGGAGTGCAATGACACAATCCCGGCTGACTGAAACTTCTGCCTTCCAGGTTGAAGCAATTCTCATGCCTCAGCTTCCTGAGTAGCTGGGACTACAGGCACGTACCACCACGCCCAGCTAATCTTTGTATTTTTTAGTAGGGATGGGCTTTCACCATGTTGGCCAGGATGGTATTGATCTCTTCACCTTGTGATCTGCCCACCTCTGCCTCCCAAAGTGCTGAGATTACAGGCATAAGCCACCACGCCCAGCCAGGAAAAGTCTTTTTAAAAATGCACATATATAGTAAAATGCGTATCCCAACACAAATGTTGTTGCACCTGTTGATGCGTCTCTTAAGAAGCTTGAGGTAGGGAAGTTTTGTAGGTAGAAGTTACTTTCCATCTCCTTTCTCATAGCATGGCACATGGAAGAGAAGATTTTGGCTTTAGCACTTCACTGTGAGTGTCCTGTTTGTTCCATGGTCATAGGCCGTTAGTGCCAAATTTACTTGAAAACCTTGTGAAATTATGCAGAAAGAAAGAATGAGGAATCTTAGGTAATAGGAAAGCAACCAGCCAGTTTTATAAAAACTCCAACATGGGTGGTTTATAACTAATTGGAAAAACATGTCTCATCTCAGTTGACTTAATCCTTTTTGCAGTGCTGGGGTGGGGGGACCTTAAGTGTTCCCAGAAGGTTTAAGGAGCAGAATCAGCTCCCAAGGTGGTCAGCACAGTGACGAAAAAGGACAAAGGGCTCTGCCTGCCTCTGAGGGTCCTTCGGTCACGGCCACCTCTGTCTAGGGGAGCAAAGACTCTGTCTGTCCTCAGCCTTCCTGGCTTTGGCAGGGGCATGGGATTGGGAGAGCAGAGGGTGGGAACTTGTTCTGGCTGGAAACTTAGCCTTCGAAACAAGGCTCCAGAGGCAGAGTTTGAGACCCAAACAGGAGAAGGAGATGGCCAATGTTGATGCCCTCAGAGTGGAGGGTCCCGAACTGTCTGATTATAAGCACAGTGTTGGGTCCTTACGTACTTTTACAAAGTTATTTTGAGAGACACGGAAGTCAGTGGATTCACTTTCTCCTCCTCATTGGAGTTCTCTGGAAAAGAGTGTTCCCAGGAACAGATTATCTGACGGGGCCACAGCCCCACCAGTGTCCTTAAGAGGGAAAGCTCTGTCAGCAGAGGGAACCTCAGCCCCGGCTGATCACACAGGCTACACTAGGCCGGGATCTGTAGATAACAGCCTGCCTTAAGGCTGCAAAGTCAAGAGAGGCCTGGTCGGTCCCGGTCCTGGCTTTGCTAGCCAGTCTCAGTCCCTGGCTTCATCTCTTGGAGGGTTGATGCAGTCTTGTTTGTGAGATGAAGCAAATGGCATTGCTCCTACCCCCACCAGGCTGGCATCAGGATGAAATTCAACATAGGAAGCGCCCTCCCCTCACCCCCATGGACCAAGAGGTGATGCTATCAGAGTTATATGGGTTTGTGGTTTGCCCTTACTGTTTCCACTTCCTTCCTGAAACCCTGCAAGAGGCTTCGCAGGAAAGGAAAGATCTTTCAGATGCCTGAGTGCAGCTGGGAATGGCTGTTCCCAGTTAACCAGGCTGGTTGGAGCCCAGGGTGAGTTGGCTGGGTTGTGGGTTTGTACCACCAGTGCCACTGAGGCACAGCTGACCCACTGCCAAGAGCTGCCAACCATCTTGCAAATGTCACCATTGCTCATGCCTGGGAGATGTTTCAGCATTGACCAAAAGGGTTGCTAGGTCTTGTCCTGCTTAGGACAGGGCACTGAAGAGTGATTTATTGCCATACCCTAAAGACAGATATCTGGGTCCTCTGCCTCCCAGGGACCCCAAACACAGAATGCTCATGACAGGACCCAGCCCATGGGCACAGCCCCTCTTGTTAGTATTAATTATGCACTTATGTGAAATGCACCCACTCTTGAAGAGGGGCACAGCCAGTGATTAAAACAGTTGAGGGCAGGTCACTAGGCTGTTTCAGACTCCATTAGGAAATTGCTCTGAGAGAGTTACTTTAGAGCAAGGGAAATGTCTCCCCGTTGGAGGGGCTCTGTGCCTGGCCAGGCCCTTACTTTAAATCCCAGCATACTCTAGCCACCCAAGAATCTTCATTAAGTGGCTCTGAAGTAGGAACTGCTTCTTAATCTGCAGGGATCAGCACAAAATGAAAATCAGTAATTTTCAGAAATTAAGATTAAAGTGGACTGGGCGCAGTGCCTCACGCCTGTAATCCCATCAATTTGGGAGGCCGAGGCAGGCAGATCACGAGGTCAGGAGTTTGAGACCAGCCTGGCCAACATGGTGAAACCCTGCCTCTACTAAAAATACAAAACTTAGCTGGGCATGGTGGTGGGTGCCTGTCATCCCAGCTTCTAAGGAGGCTGAGGCAGGAGGATTGCTTGAACCCAGAGGGTGGGGGTTACAGTGAGCCAAGATCATGCCATTGCACTCTAGCCTAGGTGACAGTGAGAGACTATGTCTCAAAAAAAAGAAAGAAAGGAAAAAAAGATTAAAGCAGCAGAGCATTCAAGCAAGCGTTAGGGATCCTTTTGAGCACAGGGCCCTGGCTGTGTAGTTTGTACACTGGCCCAAGTCTGGAGACAGTGCAAGGCAGGCAGCTGGCCTGTGCCATGTAGGTGAACTGAGTCACCCTGCCCTTTGCGGGGGCTGATGGGGATCTTTTCTAGGCCATTGGCCTAGGCAAGGCTGATGACATGAGTGGGGCTTACCCTGGTCTGGGCTGAATATGATACACTGGGACAAGTTGAAGGGAGGGGGATTGGAGCGGGGTGCTCCAGGGAGCATCATCTGTGTACAACAGGAAGTCCCTGAGCTTGGACACATGATTTAATCATCTATCACAAGGTTCAGAGCAAAACCCAGAAGACCAGGCAATGATGCATTGAAACTGCCATTACCCAAGTGAGCATTTTCCAGTATCATTAAAAAATGTTTTATAGATAAGAGGTCTCGCTGTGTTGGCCAGGATGGTCTCAAACCCTTGGTCTCGAGTGATCCTCCGGCCTTGGCCTCCCAAGGTGTTGGGATTATACTCATGTGACACTGCCCCTGACCTCTGACACTGTTTTAAAATTTTTGATGTATCTTTGAGTTTTGGACTATACCTGTTTTGTTATTTCCATTAGAGAAAGTTGACCTGGCCAGGCGAGGTGGCTCACACCTGTAATCCCAGTATTTTGGGAGGTCGAGGTAGGCAGGTCACATGATGTTTCTCTGTGAGAGTTTGAGACCAGTTTGGACAACATGGTGAAACTCCGCCTGTACTAAAAACACACAAAATAGCCAGGCATGGTGATGGGTGTTTGTAATCCCAGCTACTCAGGAGGCTGAAGCAGGAGAATCTCTTGAACCCATGAGATGGAGATTGAGTGAGCTGAGATTGTGCCACTGCACTTCTGCCTGGGCCACAGAACAAGACTCTCTCCAAAAACAAACAAACAAAAAAACTTCAAAAGCAGATTTTTGTCAGTGCACTAATCACTAACCATGGGCGTACAAGGACAAATGAAATGAGAGCAAAATAATTTATGCCTTGTTTTCTTTGCCTTTGACCTTCAGCCCCATGCAGTCCTGCAAAGGCTTTGCCCACAGCAAACGTTTGAAAACCTTAACTTTTCTGTTTTAAGTGAGATTTCCAAGTGAATTGATGTGCCTGGAAAGACAATCTCTTAACTGGAGAGCAATTGGTATTTGAAGAGAATGAGATCAGGTTGCTAAGTACACCCTTGTTTGCAATTTTTGGTTTATATAAATTATTGGTGAATAAGAAAAGTAAGTTTATTCTTTCTTTCAGATGGTAAACCAGAGGAGAGGCGTGTTATGGGGTAAAGTGAGTCATGGGGTGTGGGAGGCTCAGATGGAACAGGGCTCTGGAACACCTCTCTTTCTTGACTTGGGACTTCTAATTTACCTACCAGGCCTCAAATTAAAGGACAAACAAAGGCTTCTAATCTGGTTGGGTGGATGGATAGGGGAGGGAAGGAGAAAGTTTGCAGAAACTGAAAGGGACATTTTGGGGGCAGGAAGAAAGAAATCTCTTGTTTAATTACATAACCAAAATATAATTTTCAGTGCCTTCCTTCTCCTACCAGTCATTTAAGAAATTGACGTGTAATTCACATGCCACAAAATGCAGCAGTTTAAAGTGTACCATTCTCTGGTATTTGTTTGTTTGTTTGTTTTTGAGATGGTGTCTTGCTCTGTCACCCAGGCTGGAGTATATGGTATAATCTTGGTTCACTGTAACCTGTGCCTTCCAGATTCAAGCCATTCTCCCATGGCAGGCTCTCAAGTAGCTGGGGTTAAAGACACCCACCATCGTGCCTGGCTAATTTTTGTATGTTTAGTAAAGACAAGGTTTCACCATGTTGGTCAGGCTGGTCTTGAACTCCTGACCTCAGGTGATCTGCCCACCTAGGCCTCCCGAAGTGCTGGGATTGCAGGGCTGAGCCACTGCAGCAACCTCATAGTCTCAGTTTTTAATTGTCCCGTCAAAGAAGTAGGAAGCCCATGTGTTACTTATCTATTTACCTAATGTTAATAGAGCTTTCTTGTAACTAATGTTTACATAGATAACTTTTTTCATCCTGTTGTTTTCATCTTAGCTATGTTTTTGTATTTAAAGGGTGCCTCTTCTACACATTAGATAGATGGGTCATGTTTTTGTTTGTGTTTCTTAAAATTCAATCTCACTATCTCACTTTCATTTGGAGTGTTTAGTTCACCTACAGTTCAATGAAATTTCTAACTTATGCCCTTTGTGTTCTTTTTTTTCTTTCTTTTTGAGGCAGTCTTGCTCTGTCGCCCAGGCTGGAGCACAGTGACATGATCTCGGCTCACTGCAATCTCCGCCTCCCAGATTCAGGCGATTCTCCTGCCTCAGCCTCCCAAGTAGCTGGGATTACAGGTGTGCGCCACTGTGCCTCGCTGATTTTTTTTTTTTTTTTTTTTTTTTGTATTTTTAGTAGTGAGGCAGCGTGCCTGGCCTATTTCTCTTTTTGTTTTTTGTTCCTCCTTTCCTGCCTTATTTTGAATAAATGGAGTGATTATTCACATATCCTTTCATCTCTAGTGGCTTTTTGGCTGTATCTTTTTGCTCTATGTTTTTAGCTATATATGCTTTCTTTAGCAATTGTTCTAGGGATTACAACACACACCCTAACTTTTCACAGTTCACCTGCAGTGCTTATGACATCACTTGGACAATAAGGCAGTGAAAAGAAATGAAGCACAGACATGGGCCACATGTAGGTGAGCCTGACACTTTATGCCAAGTCCAAGCAGCCAGTCACCAAGGGCCACATACGGTATCATCCCATTTATATGAAATGCCCAGATGGGAAAATCCAGAGAGACAGGGAGTAGATTACTGGTTACCTAGTGCTGGGGGTGGAAGGAAGAATTGGGAGGGGTGATGACCAAGGATAGCAGGATTCCTTGTTGGGGAAATGAAAATGTTCTAAAATCGATTGTGGTGGCGGATGCACCATTCTGTGAGTATACAAAGAGCCACTGATGTTGACACTTTATTTATTTGTTTGTTTGGAGACAGTCTCACTCAGTTGCCCAAGCTGGAGTGCTGTGGCATGATCTTGACTCACTGCAACATACACCTCTCGGGTTCAAGTGATTCTTTTGCCTCAGCCACCCGAGTAGCTGGGATTACAGGAATGTGCCACCACACCTAATTTTTTTTGTTTTTTGAGATAGAGTCTGGCCCTGTCACTGAGGCTGGAGTGCAGTGGCATGATCTCAGCTCACTGCAACCTCCGCCTTCCACTTTCAAGCTATTCTCCTGCCTTAGCCTCCTGTGTAGCTGGAATTACAGGCACCCGCACCACATTGGGCTACTTTTTTGTATTTTTAGAAGAGACACGGGTTCACCATGTTGGCCAAGTTTGGTCTCAGACTCCTGACTTCAGGTGATCTACCCATGTTGGCATCCCAAAATGCTGGGATTAGAGGTCTGAGCTACAGTATCTGACTCAATAAGGTAATTTTATATTTACCTTTTAAGAAAGTGCCAAGCTGTCTTTTGGAGTGGCCATGCTGTCTTATGTTCCCCCAGCATGTGTGAAGGCTCCATTTCCACACACCTCAACTTGATATTGATAGTAACATCTTTTTGTTTGTTTTTTGAGATGGAGTCTCACTCTGTCACCCAGGCTGGAGTGCAGTGGCGCAATCTCTGCTCACTGCAATCTCTGCCTGCTGGATCAAGCAATTCTCCTGCCATAGCCTCTTGAGTAGCTGGAACTCCAGATGCAGGTCACCATGCTCGGCTAATTTTTTTGTATTTTTAGTAGAAACAGGGTCTCACTATGCTGCTCAGGCTAGTCTCAAACTCCTGACCTTGTGATCCGCCCACCTCGGACTTCAAAAGTGCTGGGATTACAGGTGTGAACCACCATATCTGGCCGTGACATCTTTTTAATGTTGAATCTTTCTTGATAACATGTGCTGCCGTGGCTTTCTTTGCATTGAAAGTGTTTCATTGAAAGATTTCTTCATATGGATGGTGTGTGCATATTTTTGCATATCGATTTCTGAGAGTTTTGTTTTTTTGGGGGTGTGCTGTTGCAAATGGGATGTTTTCTTCTCTTTTCTAACTGCTCACTTGTACATAGGAAGACTGTCAGAGGCCTGGTGTGGTGGCTCAGGCCTGTCATCCTAGCACTTTGGGAGCCTGAGGCAGAATTCCTCGAGCCCAGGAGTTTGAGACCAGTCTGGGCAGCATAATAAGACCCCATCTCTATCTATCTATCTATCTATCTATCTATCTATCTATCTATCTATCTATTATTTTGAGACAGGTTCATGCTCTGTTGCCCAGGCTGGAGTGCAGTAGTGCAGTTCCAGCTCACTGCAGCCGCCACCTCCCAGGTTCAAGCAATTCTCGTGCCTCAGCCTCCCGAGTACCTGGTATGACAGGTGTGTTTCGCAACACCCGGCTAATTTTTGTATTATTAGTAGAGTCAGGGTTTTGCCATGTTGGCCAGGCTAGTATCAAACTCCTGGCCTCAAACAATCTGCCTGCCTTGGTCTCCCAAAGTGCTGGAATTACAGGCATGAGCTGTTCCCAGCCCCATCTCTATAGTTTAAAAATTAAGAAAAAGCAAGGCTATTTAGTATATTCCTTTGTACCTAACTCCTTAGCAAAATCTGTCTGCCTCATTTTTCAGAGTAAATATAACTATTTCACCTTCTGCTTTTCTCTTTAATGTCTTACTTTCCTCACCTAGTTGCATCAGCTAGGGCCTCCAAAATGATAGTGGTAACAGAGGGCATTCTTTTGTTCCAAAGGTTGATGGAAGCTTCTATCGCTTCCATGCCTTACAAATGATACTGGGCTTTGGCTTGATGGATGTGTTTCTGGGTTTAATTCCCTTTATTGTGTGTAATTTAAGGAAGTATACCTCTTTCTAATTTGATGTTTCTTTTTTAAATTTTGTAGTAAATATTTTTTCAAATGCCTTTTCAACATCTATGATGATTATGATTTTCAACATATTAATATAAATAAAATGAAAAGTTCTAATTTTGAGCCATCCTTTTCACACTGTACAAGCCTCTTTTGGTTTAGGTAAGTTTGTTTTTTAAGCTCCAGTGGGGTTTATTTGCCAATATTTTATTTTGGATTTTCATATATTGATTTTTCTGTAAATGTCTTGCTTTTTTTTGTTTGTTTTGGAGATAGGGCCTTGCTCTGATGGCCAGGCTGGAGTGCAGTGATGTGATCACACTTTATTGTAATTTTAAACTCCTGGGCTCAAGTGATCCTCCCACCTCAGCCTCCTGGGTAGCTGACACTACAGGCATGTGCCACCATGCCTGGCTAATTTTTAAAGTTTTATGGAGACAGAGCCTTGCTATGTTGTCTAGGCTGCAGTTCAGTGTACATTGTAGATGTGAATATTTATTGGTCTTTCTGCTGGAATCATTCCCTCTCCCATCTTTAAATTCTGGGCATGCACACACACTCCACCCACACATCCTAACTGCAAAATATTGATGTTGTCCAACCTGCCTTGAGAAGGGAGAACGGTTTTTCCCTCTTTGTATCTCTGCTGGTGTCCAGTCCACTGCTGTGTTTTTGGTAAATACTTGACCCACAGAGTATGGGAGGCAGGAAGGGAAGACTTCTGCATTTCCTTTGTGGACCCAACATCATGGATCCATTAAGCATATTGGGAAACTAGCAGGTCAGGTGGCTGCACACTCTAGTTGCCTCTGACTCTGAATTGCTCAGGGCCCCCTGCATGCCAGTGATTTGCTTTTCTTTGTGAATTGTCTCTTCACTCATTCCTAGGTTGAGTTCCCCAAAACAGTGGCTAGCACAGCACCTGTAACAGTTGTGGGTGCATATGTGACCTTGCATGACCTGATTTACAGGGTATTTTGAACAGCAGCTACCTATTATGGCTTGGGATATGGCTAAAATTTACTTGACTTCCTTTCATAAAGTAACTGGTAGAATATGTGGCATAAGGCTATCATTGCAAAAGCAGAAGTGGTGGGGGGTGATTGAGCTTGGGCTGCATTGGGAGGCAGACAGGCCCGCATCAGCACCGTCCTGGCCATTTGTAAGTTATATGACCTTGGGGGAATCCCCTCCACTCTCTGAGCCTTTGTTTCTTCCCTCATTAAGGAGATCATCCATTCCTCATTGGACTCTTGTAAGGCTTAAGATCAAACACCTTTCAAGGCACTCAGAGCAGCGCCTGGGCTCAGGGGTCTTCAGACTCTAACCATAGCAAACACTAAGATCCCAGCCGCCCTGCCTTCTCTTCCCTCCAGCATGGGAATGTGGAGGACCAACATTCTCATTCCCATTTGCCCTGCAGTTCTTTCTTCTGAACTTCATCTAGCACCTGCTGTGCACCAGGGATTCATGGGAGGGGAGGTCAGGGACAGCCAAGTCTGGCGTCTGGCCTTCAGCTTGCCTCAGTCCCCGTGGTTGACACCTGGCCCTTTGCTCTGGAATCTGGACCCTACAATCTCCTACCAAAGGCTCAGCCCAAAGAGGGCTCAAGGGCACGCTCTATTGGTGAGAAGATTCCGTAGCTGCCCACGTCTCCCCAACTCCTGAGTGGATGATCAGCCCCAGTAATCCAGAGACATATTCTTGGATTCTGCTAGCTTTATTTTTCAGTTGAAAACTCAAAGGAAAAGGTTATGTTTCAAAAGAAGTTTAAAAAACTTGGAATGCTGTAGCCTGGGGGCCTGAATTCTCAGGTGCCCCTACCAAAACAGAGACCCTCCAAAGCATTCAGTCCCAGTGTGTCTATCCCAAAGAGAGCAGCTCTCTGTCTGGGCTTCTGAAGAGCTATCAGTTCCCCTCAAAGAACTTCCTGCCTCAGGAGATCCCTGGATCAGGCAGGGAATGCTAGGACCAGGCAGCTGAGAATCTGGCTTCCTGTCCCCCTCCACACAGTCAGCGTTCTGACGTGGGGGCTTCCCACATGGCTGTTGAATAAGTGAATAAATACCTTGGGCATGAACAGGAGCCGGTAGAGCTCTCTCTGCAGGGCTGAGACTTGCTGGTCATGCTGTCTCTTGGTTTACAGTGGAGATGTGGAGGAAGGGGGGAAATTACCCAGACCAGTGGGAGAGTTTCACGTCCTCAGAAGTATTTTGAGCACAATGGCAAATAGCTCTTCTTCCTTGCATTTGAAGTACATGCCGTTCTGAGTTTCCTGGCATTCCATGCTGGTTGTTCTATCCCAGCCAAGAATCTTGCCCTTATCAAGGAGCTGGAATTAGAGTAGAAGGTGAAGGAGTTTGAAGTCTTTGGCAGCCTAGTGCTGGCTTAGACAAAATCTCATACTGTAAAGAAGAGAGAAGTAAGGCCAGGCTATGGGTCCCAGAGGAGAGGGGTCCCTGCTGTTTGCTGGAAAAAAAAAAAAAAAAAAAAGCCTACTATCTGAGTCTTGTAGGTCTTTGTCTATTATCTTGTCTGTCTGTTCTAGTTTTTACACTTAAAATTATGCCAGGGCCCCTATTACAGCCCCTGGCCCTCCTTATTAACAGAACAACTCTCCCTCCACTGCCACCCACCTCCCTCTCCCCTTTCTGTAAGAGCAGCAGGGATGGGTCAAGGAGTCCCTACACCTGCCAGGCCTTTGCAGGCAGTGGTGTTAGGCCCAGCCTGCTGAGTTCCTAGGAAATTCAACAAACATCTATGGATCACTCACTCCATGTCAGGCTCTGCCACCAGCACCCTGGACACAGAAGACCAAGACATGTTTCCCAGCCAAGGGGAGGGTGGAGCCTTAGCACACGATGCATTGAGAGCTCGGGATGCATCTAACCTGAAGTGTAGGCTAAGGGGAACTCTCACTGTGTGGGTGGGATGTTCAGTGCAGCTTACAGTGGAGGCTGCTCTACTGTTTCCCCATCAAGTGTGGTAGGCAAGGGCACAGACTGGACACTCAGAGCTACCAGGGTAAGGAAGTGCTCTTGTATCCCTCATCTGCTAGGAGAACTGTTTAAAAGGTGGGATTTATTTAATTTTTTTGAGGTGGAGTCTCACCCTGTCACCTAGGCTGAAGCACAGTGGCTCACTGCAACCTCTGCTTCTGGGATCAAGCAATTCTGCCTCAGGCTCCTGAGCAGCTGAGATTACAGATGCCTGCCACCACACCCAGCTAATTTTTTTATTTTTAATAGAGATGGGTATGGCCAGGCTGGTGTCCAACTCTTGACCTCAAGTGGTCGACCCGCCTCGGCCTCCCAAAGTGCTGGGATTATAGGCGTGAGGCACTGCATCCTGCTATTTATTTTTTTGAGATGGAGTCTTGCTCTCTTGCCCAGGCTGGAGTGCAGTGGTGCAATATCAGCTTACTGCAACCTCTGCCTGCTGGTTTCAAGTGATTCCC